CGAAATAAATTTTGTACTCCCAGATTTCATTTTTTTACTGTTCGAATTAAATGACAAGTCTGTGCTAAAATTAAGTTTAAATCACCAGGAGTGCCCTGCACATTACTAGCTGTGATCTAGGATAAGGGGATATAAATCACGATGATATCCTAGTCTTAAGCAATCAAAAACAAGTCTACTCAGATTTATTACCTGAGGACTCAGAATTCTTTCATGTACATTCATATACTGATTACTTTATTATTATTTGGCAAATTGCTTATACATTTAAGAAATAAATATTTCACTGTCTTTATAATCGACATGGTAGTCAGCAGTGTATGATCCACATGCTTAATTTTATAGAAGTTGTTTGACCTTGTTTTCACAACTTGGTCATGTTAGCAGGAAGACCTAGAAGAACGCACCTCGTCCGGAGTCCATAGTATGCATGATCATTTCCAGAGTCGGATCGTGGACGTAGTACATTCCCAGACGTTTCGCCGGAAGTCGATCCTTTGACCATTTGTCTACTAAAAAGTTGTGGTATCTCTCCTGTCCCGTACTATTCATCTATCCTATTTCCTCGTATCAACCCTTCAATATCACAAATTCTTACTTGTTTATCTAAATCTATTTGAAGCCTATTCACACTCCCCACTGGTTTCCACATCCCCACATTGCACTTAAAGTGTTGATCTAAGATTGCGGTTTAATCTGTAATCCTCTCCCTTTGAATGCTATCAGAGTCCCTCTCTTACTCCGTAGGATCCTTCTTTTATCTACCTGTATCAGTGATTTCATAATCGCTGTCACCCTATCCATGCTACTTAGGGCGTTATGTCTTACACTCTGTCCCAAGCCTTTGATAGCACGTATGTGCCCGCCTCACTGAGCAAGCTTATAAAGTCTGTATTCTAAATTGGCATAGCAACCTAACTTGACGCGGCATATTCCCTTATCATTGCCGCATGTGCACTGAATAAATCTTGTGGCCAAGCCTTTACTTAATGAACTACGTCTATAATCAAAGTTGTCTACTCATAACCAACTATAATTTGTCTCCGCCGCATCTCTCGCTCTTCTTTCCATGATGCCAAGTTTATGAAATTATTATGCCTAAGTCCCTTATTTACCGACATCCAGATGCGATAGGTATACTTGATTTAAATAAGCTCACTAAACATCTCCTCTTGGTTTCCCATAGTTCCTCTCTGGTCTCCTTGTAATTTCTTTTTCAAAAATTATCAATATTACTTTTGTCCTACCGTCTTATTTTTGTTGATGTTGTTGTTGTTTGATCTTCTCCGAGTTTGCATAGTCAGTATGCAAAGCTTTCGCTAATCCCGCCTTCTTCAAGTCTCTTGTTTATTAGATTTCTTTCAGTATGTTTATCGATGGCTTCTCGTATCTTTCGTTTTCTTGTATTTTCACCATATGCATTTTCCCAGAACTTTCGCCGGTATCGTCAGTAAGCCTTGCTATACTCGTTAAAGAAATAAGTGAAGCTGATTTTTTGAACAATTGTCTGCTATACAGTTGTGATATCTCTCCTCTCCTATTGTATTCACTTATCCTATATCATCGTAACCGCCTTCACTACCACAATTTCTTACTTGCTTATTTAAACCTGGTTCTGGTTCGCCATTTTAAGCATATTTAGCACTTCACGAACATTGGAGGGAGATGTGGGAACCGGTGGGGCGTATGAATAGGTCTCACTAAATTCGCTAAGAATAGAACATCAGAACCAAGTTTAAATAAGCAAGCAGGAAATTGCGATAATGAAGGTGCTTACATGGATATTGGATAAGTTAATAAATCGAGACTACAGCTGTTTGGCAGACAATTGGTCAAAAAATCGACTTCATTTATCACTTTGACGAGCTGTGTAGGGCTAGGACTGGCAAGGCTCATTTCTGATGCCGGCAAAACATCTAGGAATGTAACAAGTTCATGGTCCGACGCTGGAAATTATCGTACATACTATAGACTCCGAATAAGGTAGGCTACTCTAGACCGTCCTAACAGTAAGATGAGGTTGCAAGGCAAACTTATATACATGATGTATTCACTCCTATGCCCTTGGATCACAGGACCTTTTAAGCAAGGTTTAGCATTTTCCCATATCACATTCTTAGATGGGATTGTCGATGAAACAAAGCCTCTAAGCCCTACTTATAAACGAAATATAAGTAGTGTAATCGATCGTTATATCAAATATCACATTGCTTAATCGACAATACCATCAAAGAATATGATATGGGAAAATGCCTGATCTTTCTTGAAATTCACATCTGCCCTGTGACCCAAGGGCACTCATGAAGATGTAGCTTAATTGCTAACATATCGAAATTACACACACTTTTGAGTCCCACTGGGGGTGTTTGGAAAACCTAGAATAAGTCAAAACTGCAGTCCACTCTGGATGAGAAAGCAAGGATAATCGGAATTCAATTGAAGCGTCATCTCTATCCATATAAACTTCAACTACCAGTTTCTTATCACCTTAAACAATATAGGATGAATACATCATACATAACTGTTTTACTTGTAGTCTTGAACTCCACTCATAAACGAAAAAGAACTTCTATACAGTTTATTGTTTTTTACATAAATTATAATTATTGCCTTTTATTTTACTTAGATTTTTCTCAATTATTTAATTTATTATATTCTTATAATTACCTTACATAAAGTCACTATTTTCAGACGTGAGCAAACTAACATACAGCCTTCTGCCTAAATCACTTAATATGCATTTCATAAACTATCTAGGAGCATCACATTGATTTTGTTTGCAGTCTTATCCGCCTAGAGACTATATTCTTTGAATCCTCTCGCCTCTTTGCCGACTTGCTATCAGCAGCCGTTGCCTCTACTGATGCTCCTTCTAGCTTTTCCATTGGGCCTGGATACCTCAGTCGTCTACTTTCTCGCCTTTCTGAGTTGACTACCACGAGGTCTATATGGCTGCCTAATATTCTGTTTCAACTTTTGGCGTCCGACGTCTCTTTGCCCAACCTCTGTTTTTCTCTTCACGCCTTTTCCTTAGACTCTCAATCTTCTAGTCAACCACCTTCTCAGGCCATTTGTAATTCTCCTATTTCAACCAACTCCGCCGATGTTTCACTGCCAAACAAATATGTCTATCAGGTGGCAGCAGAAGATTGGATGCACGTTGTTGTCAATCTCATCAGCTTATGGTCTGATCATTTAGTCGCCGACTACCGAGCGACTGGTTTTCGTAATCCATTCTTATTCAATTCAAATTGTGCAAATAAATTTGTTGAGCCCTACAGGGGCAAGAAAGAAGATGAAACTGGAAGAATGGATGGTCAATGGATGGCAAATCCAGTGATTCACTTTGATGACTGGCTTACCACTTTTCGGTGTCTGCTCGGCATGAGACAAACTGGTAGCGAGATCTGGCTTCCCAATGTTGCAGATCCGGACTGGAGGGCCAAATTGCTTATCTGCTCAGCTTTTTGTATGGCAAATGTCTCCAAATATGAATCTAGGTATGTACTTGGATGTGGATATTCCCAGCATATTTTTTACTCCCAGGAAATTGTTTGCGTCAATGCATTTATTGGAATATCCTCTTATATAGCAGCTATAGTTAACCTTCTTATCTGTCGTTTTTTACGTTTCACCTGTTACATTTTCGTTCATTGTACTCATGGTAGCGTATTTAGAATAGGCTAGGATTGTAATTATACTATACGAATAACACTTTCGTGCTAATTAACTTAATTGCATCTACTCCATCATATGATATTACAAGGTTGATTCCTTAGGATTGATTTATTCCTAAAATAAATAATTAATTAATACCTTAAGTATGACGTATCAGTACCCAGTATTGGTATGAAAGTTTGAAGGCGTATGAGGAGGCAACAACGCTGCTTTATGTCTTTTGCATAAAAGGCCAAGTTGAACAAAGAGTGATTGAAATAGAGGAGATTACTATATTTAGTCGAGAATATCCTTAGCACAGATCGAAAGATTACGGATTTCAGTTTATTCTGGCAATTTTCAGAATCTGAGGAGTTCAGGTTTTTTCACAAGAACTGGATCGTTTTGCGAATTTGACTTCGTTGAACTTCACAACAAAGCCTATAAAATTGTGATTATGCAGGTATAACAGGCCATGTAAAGTGCAAAATGGCAGTGAAGTGTCGCTACAATCTAATTAGCTCGCATAATACGTTTGTTCTTTCTATTCACATGGCTTTATTCTCTTTTAATTTTGTCTATTTCTACTTCGTTTGCTCCATTTAGCTCTCCAAACCGACGATTGGGGTGATATTTTATCTAATTTAAATCACCTTATTTAGTTGGCTTCACTGTTTTTACTTAATTTATTTACTTTGATTTACTTGGTTTGCGTAATGTAGTACGTATGTTTTTGTTGATGAACTTAACAGGCCTGTTGGACGAGTGCAATTTAACTTATGCCATCATTCAGCCAACAAATTGTGTTGCATTCTTTCGGACGACAGTTCAATATCATTTCTTTATTTCAATATTCCAACCATGTATACGTAATTCTTACTCATCACCATTCTACACCATTCTCTAATCTATTAATTTCAATATCCTCTTTTATCTTGTGCATCGTTGCAGACGTAGCATAATCTACAAAACTCTTTGCATGAGACTATTCTATCCCACGTCTAATCTCTCCTTTGTGTTCAGCCACTTCTGACGCTTTCGATTCAGCTACATTTGTGTAAGAATTTATGTACCCGGCTATTCTTTGTCGGATAGGCCTACATGTCTTATCAACATAAGGTCGTACACAAGAGGACACCACTTTCTAACAGCCGGATCTAGATACTGAGTCATATTTTGAGCTAAAAGCTGGCATGACCGAAGAAAGTATCAGAGTTCCTTTGATTACTGTTTTA